TCCTTCGTCCGGGCGCCCAGATTTTTACTGACTACAAGATGTTCTGTAATTGGACGAGGAGGTGGATAAGTCCGGGCACCTCCGTCGCTCTTTGTCCAAGCGCCTCCTGATTGGTGGCGGTGCCAAGTGACTCCCTGTGTGCAGAGGTGATGCCACTGGAGCCATAGCCGGAGGTGGCCATCTATCACTTTATGTAGCATGGACTACTACTACCATCGTCCCCAGTGGCCCTTTGGAGATCAGACATGGATACTTGCTTAGAGCCAAGCTGGACCTATGTAAGGATCCATAAAAGGTCATTCCTGGAGTTTCTTTTACAATAATCAATGTTGCTGTTGCCATGGTGATGACTGAGCCGCTCCTTAATGACTCATATTTACATTTATAGAACATTCCTTGTTTGTTCACTTACATGCACCAGGTGCTTTTGTTACTCAATCTGCAATGACGTAAAGCAAAATATTCTCTCGCACTACACCTTCCACATCCTCTGCTTCCCAGTTCTTTGGCCAGATGTTGCACCCTATATACACTTTTATATTTCATTTATTTTTTTTCCTTGGGTTGTTTGGGTTTTCATATTATATTTGCACACCAACAGTCTATAGTAGTCACTAATTAACCAGCCGTCCAATGTAAACATGATCTGTAGCAGTGTCCGGGAGGATTGCTTTTCCCTTACGCTCTGCCCTGTACTACAGAACGGCCATATTTCTTTTACTTGGGTCTTTTTTCTAAGTGGATAGATTGAGCTCAGAATTTTTTATTGGAGCAGGAAGCTTTTTATATGGATGAGATGGAGCGGAGAAGCAAGCACCGCAGTAAAATCCCGACTCGGTAGACATTACAGTTATAGTAGCCTGGCGAGGTGGGGGATGGTAATGGAGAAGGAAAACTTCCGCTCTTCAATAATTCTATACACGTGATACGTTGTAATAAAATCTGATGTTTAAAGGTTTTTTTTTTTTTCCAGTTTACTAGTTTAATGCTGTTCATAAGGAAGCTTTAGATTGTATTGGAGTCCATACTGGTGTGGTTTTCAGTCCATACTGGTGTGGTTTTCAGTCCATACTGGTGTGGTTTTCAGTCCATACTGGTGTGGTTTTCAGTCCATACTGGTGTGGTTTTCAGTCCATACTGGTGTGGTTTTCAGTCCATACTGGTGTGGTTTTCAGTATTCGGTAAGCTGTTCTCAGTTCTGTGTTTACATGCGTGTTCATATTTCAGGTTACTTGATGATGGGATGAATTACTCAGCAGTGGTTAGGTCTTAGACGCCCGACTTCCTTGCTCCTTCTTTGTCACGGCATTATGAATATTTTTTTGGAATATATGCCAAGACGATGGATTCCAAGCACCCAAACATATGAGCAGGGCGTGAAAATTTTTTAGGGTGTTTCACCAGTCAGTCAAAATTTCACCAAGTCAGCATGACCGGACTATAGGTTTAATTAAACTTTATCAGCATTGACACACTGTAAGGTTTTGCATAAACACTTAATTGACTCTACATTCTAATCCTCAATCAGAAACAAAGTAGATAAAAGGAAGTGCACAAACCTAAGGCTGGGCTCACACCTAGACGTATCGAATATGCGCGTTTGCTGTGACTGGCAGTTCAGGGATTGTATTGTTCCCTCTCGCCCCCAAAATGCAAGGAGTTCTGTGAATGGACAAGGGGAGAGAAGGGCAAGTAAACAGGATCTCCCTTTGTCCATTCACAGAATGCCTTGTCCTAGCATACAAGGCTTTTTGTGAATCGGTGAGGGGACAGTGAACAACACATGTGTCAGAACTGTCAGTTGCAGTGCTGGAAGAAGAGTGTGTCCTGTAGTATCCGGGGTGAAGGAATCTAAGATTTGTACAGTAATCGGCAGCCTACTGTTCATGGCATAGTAAGCAAGTTACTTATTTCACCCGTGGCTGCTGCAAAAATTTCCCCTGTAGTACCACTTTAAAAGGCATTTGGGAACGTCATCCCCACCTCATGGCCAAGGGCAAATCCGGGGCTTGCAAGTAGAGATGTGAAGATCTTTAGTAATTCAAATAAAATTGTGTAATTGCGGAAAATATCTGATGGTTTCCTGTTGTGTATTAGAAGGTGAAGCAGGCTTCACCTTTCTTTCCCGATACTTGGGATTAGTCACCCCGAGATGCTCTTTTATTTCGTTTCTCGTGTGGGGAAACCTTCTATTCAAACTGTTTACTCGCTGAATGCAGAATCGTACTGTGCCGTTCTGTCCAACCAGCGAAGCTATTTATGTGCACAAAAATATCTGGGCTGCTTTCACAGAGCTTCTTTAATTCTCACTATATTGTTGCGTTTTTCTTTTTTTTTTTTAACTAATTGGGTTGCGCGCTTTCACTTCTTGCCTTGCCCCGGAGAGAAAGGAACCCGTTAGCCGCCTTTTCAAAGTCGATAGTGTGAAGTATCCCATAGAGAAATGTCTAAATTAAAACATAATGGATTTACTGCCAAGTCTTCCTGCGCAGAATGTTACTTGATCGCTACGCTTCTGATGCCCAGGCTGATTATCCTCCCACCCTTGTACAACTACTTGTACAGCCCGCTTGCACATTATGGGTTTGCTCTTGATGGCTCCAAGATCTGTGGTTGCTTTATCAGTCACCACTGACCTCTTCTCCACTTTTTCCGGGTGACCGGACTATAGCCTTGCAATTTATGTTAACATATTTTGGGGATAGATAGAGCTTTCTTTTGGGGGTATATAATCACCACTGGGGTGGGGGGGGAGGGGGGGTTACTATATAATGAAAAAAGTACCGTAAATGTAAAATGTAGTTTCCCTACGTTATGTTATAGAACTTTTATTCTTACCCATATTTTTGGTAAAACATAAAAGTCGTGGTCACGTCGGGTAAATAGACACCAAACATGTCAAGGTTTAAAATTGCGTGCGCCCGCAAAATCGCAAAAAACGCTTATAGGCGGCGCTTAAAACGCTTTTACTGCTCATCAGTTTAGTGTTATCAGTTATTATTGGCTCTAAAATTATTGCTCTCACTCGGACGTTTGTGGCGATATGTAACATGTGCGGCACAATAGGCGCAATTGTCGTTTTCGCACGTAGGCGCACCCAACGCATATCTGCGTGTGTATGTGGGGTGGCGGGGAATTAAAAATTATCGTTTTTAATTTTTTAATGCTTTAATTTTTGGATTACTATTTATTTTTATTTATTTTTTACACACCACTTTATTGCTAAGAAGCCCCCTATGTAATAGCCAATTTACATGACAGGTCTTCTTTATGGAGACATTAGGGGTCTCCAAGCCCCCTAATGTCACCAAGTACCCCCAGAGAAGCTGATGAAGCAGAGATCTGCATTAGCTTCTGCAGCTGGAGAGTGACACTGAATGCAGGAAGTGATGTAATATACATCACTTCCTGCATTCGGGGACTGAGAGGAGTTCAAAGAGATCGTATACTGAACTCCCTTTGAACTCCTGTCACAGAGCCGTGCCGGTCCCGGCCGCATCGGGCACAGTGGATCTCGGGACTGACAACGGCAATGTAAGGTGCTAATACATGCGATCGAGCGCGTCCAGAGCCGCCCGATCGCTTGAATGTAAAGCTCCCGGCCGGCCGTGTAATTACAACGGCCGGCTGGGAAGCTGCTCGTCGGGCTCCACCGTCCTCTCATCAGACGAGTGGACAAGTGGGTTTTTCAAGCCCGGTCTGTTGTTGAATGCCTTTAGATCGACTTTATAGGAAACTTGTTGTGGGAAGATTATAGGCTGCTGTTGGTGACACTCCTCCTACTAACATATGCTGATGTTTTCTTCAATGCTTTGCGAGTTATGGATCCAAAAACATGATTGGAATAAAGTAGTAGGCCTCATTCACACACAACTCAAGAGCAAAATTGTATATTGCGTATATACCCGTACATGCACACTTATAATGCGTCTATATACGAGCGTATATGCGTGCACTATTTGCAATCCCACAATGCATCATTTGTAATCGAAATGTTAATGAATATATGAGCGTATATACGCTGCCCGGACGCATCTCGGCTCCATTCTGTTTTTACGCTAGGCAAATATAGTGATCCATACGCAGCTATGTGTATGGAGCCATTTATTTGCATATGGTACCATACGCGCATATACGCGGCAGTGTGAATGAGGCCTTAAGGTCCACCTGTTCATCCTGATTTTAATATCTATTCATTTGGCTTGACAGGCCATGTAGGTTTGTATCTTTTTTTTTTTTTTTACGTAGGTTTCTGTAGTGCGTGACGCACACGATATTGAGTGTGGCTGCCACAATGTGTTTTATGTGAAGAACGTGACTGGAATTGTCGGCACTGGGTTTGCATTTATACAAGCACATTTGGGGTCTATCAGAATGAGGAGGAAGTAGCTACATATATTACGTCCGGGAACCTGGTTACACAAGACCAAAATGAATCGCCCCAAGATGTAGTCTGTGATTTCTGAACACTCAAAGAGTAAAGCTGAGAGGCTGCCATTCCCCAAATCTCCTGTTCTTTCTGGTTTGCATGTCGGCTTATTTGTTCCAGGTCGGGGGCTTAGAAAATGGGAAGCAAAGGATCACAGGTGTCTAGAGAATAAGCTGACCTTGAAATTTTAATACTAGGCCTGCTATAAGATACCTCTTATATAAGTACTCTGTTTCAAATTGGGTGTCGGTGAATGGAGATTTAGGAAAAAGTATAACACTAATTACATTTCACATCCAATGTTACACCAACACGTGAATGGCAATGGTTGGTTCTGATGAGTCTTGTTCTATTTCGGCAGTAATGGTATTGGACCTGTAGCCTCGGGTCAGTAGACATTAATACACATGAAGCCGACAATGATTACTTAAGAAATGCTCTCATCCCATATGCTTTCTCCTGCTGATGTAACACTTA